CTGGGGGTGCATGGGGCAGAATTCATGCCAGACTATCTGTGATGCTGGAGCAATCTCTGTGTCTATCTGTCCATCCCTTCCTCTGTCCCTAGATCCTAGTGCTGCTATCTGTCTATCACCATACACACCCCTTCATCTCTCCATCCCCTACACACCCCTCAGTCCCTGTCTCTCTCTCTCCCACCCCGTACACACCCCTCTCTCTCTCCATACAACCCCTCATCTTCATACACCCCTAGGGTGACCAGACCGCAAGTATGAAAAATCGGGACACAGTGTGCGGGGGTAATAGGTTCCAATATAAGAAAAAGCCCCAAATATCGGGACTGTCCCTATAAAATTGGGACATCTGGTCACCCTATACACCCCTCTCTCTGTCTCTCTCTCTCCCACCCCGTACACACCCCTCTCTCTCTCCATACAACCCCTCATCTTCATACACCCCTAGGGTGACCAGACCGCAAGTATGAAAAATCGGGACAGAGTGTGCGGGGGTAGTAGGTTCCCATATAAGAAAAAGCCCCAAATATCGGGACTGTCCCTATAAAATTGGGACATCTGGTCACCCTATACACCCCTCTCTCTGTCTCTCTCTCTATATATAGCGCCAAACATCTCACTCTCGGCCCCTCACAAACCCCTTCTCTCATACACCCCTCTCTTTCCCCATATACATCTCTTCCTTTCTTTCTCTTTCTACCTCTCTCCATCCCTAGATCTCATTATGCTGGGCTATCTGTATATCCTGTCCCAATGCCACAGTCTAGCTCCTCTGACTTGGAAAATGCAGTTCATTTGACCCTGAATCAATAAAGGAAGGTAAAACTGGTACGTTAAATTGAAATGAATTTGACAATTTCTTTGGTGGCGAACAGGAAAATTGGTTGGGCTAGTCACACAATGAAAAACAAAGATTGGGCAATCATTTCCCCCCACTAGTTGATGGGGGATAAATTAACCAGCTAGTTTTTTTTAGTGAATATTATCCAGCCAGCTCTAATTATCATCACCATTATTTGCATTAGAGTAACAGCTAGAAGCCTCAACTGAGAATGTGGCACCATGGTACAGGACACTGTCCATGCATATCGTAAAAGAACTTGCTGTCTAAAGCCTAGCCTACATACAGATTTTGTACTGATGTAACTATTGTGGTTTGTGTTTTTGGTTTTGTTTTACTGAAATAATTATAGCCGTACATCCTCTAGGGTAAATGAAATTATACCAGTATTAAAGTCCTTATTCTGGTGGAGCTTGTTTCCTTTCTTGTACAGCTTTTGATGGACGTTGATTTAACCTATTTGCTTCCCCACAAGCAGGATTTCCAATCCTCGAACTTCCTGTGATCTCCTGGATGGATCAAGAGGAAGAGCCATGCATCCTGGATATCCAGGGCTCCGAGGAAAGGGAGATCCAGAGAGACACGCCCACAGGTGAGGAATGAGTGACATTGGCTCAGAGATTGTCCAGGAGTGAAGAGGAAAGCTGGGATCCCAGCAAAGCCACTGGGTGCCTCCCCGGTTCTGTTTTTTTCTCATCTCATCTCATTCAGTATCGTCCAAGCAGGTGTCCTAGCCTCCTGGCACTCACAGCATAGGCCCCTGTATATTACTTTGCCATGTTATCCACACATTGACACAAAAATCATGCTTCAAATTCCAATGTTTGTTTCACTCATAGGCTTGCAAAGAAATTCTTAAAAGCAAAACCCATTATATTGATGCAGTGATGTCTACCTGACCCTGCCGACAACGTGAAACAATTGTGTGTTTGTGAATTGCCCCATTCATTGCAAAGGGGTATTGACTCTGAAACCTACCAATGGCAATTTAAATATTCAGACTGTTCACTGTTTCACTGCTGATCATTTTAAAAGAAACATCCAGCTAGTGTTCTTATTCCACTGTACCTGACTCCCCAAAAGCTACAGCTGCCTTTACCCACCTACTATAGCCTGCAGTCTTACTTCCCACACTGAAAAAAGTGGAATTAAACAAACAACTCAGGGGGATTAGATTATTTCTTTTCATAGCTAATGCATTCTTTTTAAAAGTCCATTTAAAATTAATGAAATGAAGAAAATAAATAATGAATTTTGCATGCACTGGACCACATGGAGAAGCCTGAGCAGGGCTAATCCGTGTGGTCTGAGCGGTTTCTCTGGGATTGGTGGCAAACGCAGTGGCCAGGGGTTTGTTTGGCTAGCTCTGTGAGAGAGAGCTGGAAAGCCAGCTGACAGGGACAGAAGAAGTTATATAGATTCATAGATTCATAGACTTTAAGGTCAGAAGGGACCATTATGATCATCTGGTCTGACCCCCTGCACGCTGCAGGCCATAAAACCGTCCCCGCCCCTTCCCTGGACTCTGCCGCTGAAGTCCCCAATCCTGTTATTAGTGACCTCAATCGGCAGAGACCCTCCTGCTAGAGATCCCTGCCCCATGCTGCGGAGGAAGGCGAAAAACCTCCATGCATGACACTGAATGGACTAGAGGAGCAGACTTGGAAGTAGTGGGCAAGGAAAGTGCCTACTGTTGTTGTTTTTTTCTACTGTGTTCAGGGAAACAAGCCTTTGTATTCTTTGTAAACAAAGTGGATTGAACCAAAGAATATACCTGACTCATATGATCAATTTCTTCTCCTAATGGAAACAACCTGGCAAAACATGCATCTGATGAAGTGGGTTTTAGCCCACAAAAGCTTACACTCAAATAAATTTGTTAGTCTCTAAGGTGCCACAAGTACTCCTGTTCTTTTTGCGGATACAGACTAACACGGCTGCTACTCTGAAACCTGGCAAAACCTTGAATATTGTCTATCTGGTCAGGCCAAAGGGGCCACACTGGTGTGAAGGTGGGATGGATTTTCCAGGAGAGAAACCGAGAGTTGTATTCCTGTTAAACCAAGCTGGAGCAGATAATGGAGGTGCTTGCAGAAATCAAAGATGGCTAGAAGGAATTAAAACAAGACCTAAAACAGGAGCTGGAGCCTTCTCAAAAGGAATTAAAGCAACATCTAGAGGTTTCCCAGAAAGGACTGAGAAATGACCTGCATTCGGAGATAGTATCTTTGTTGGTACAGCAGTTACAACGTATTCGGGAAAATTTCAAAGCCCAGCTACAAAACATCCACTCCAGACTGGCAAGACAGATCAGTGAGGTGACCAGCAAACTGACTATCATAGACCAAAAGGTTTTCCAGGAAATAGAGGAGACCAAGGAAGTTATGGCCAGCTTGAAACATGCTAACAGAGATGAGCTACAGCAAGGACTTGAGGAGCTAAAAGATCTCCTAAAGAAGGAATTTAAAGGGTCACAGACCACAGTGGAAGTCAGTTGCCTGGATAAGGAATCAGGCCAGCCAAAGAACTTGGGTAAGACCAGACATTTGTAACCCTCAGAGGGTTTGGACTGTCTGTCCCAGTCAAGTAATACAAAAGCCCACTATCTTTGAGGGAAGGCTCCCTGGGAGGGTTATTTGGCTCAGTTTAACATCCTAGCTCCAATGAATGTCTGGGGAGATGAACTGAGAGGGGGGTCTCTAGCAGCTGACTTGAGTGGTCCAGCTCTGATGGTGTGGCAGAACTTACCCGAGAAAAGAGACTGAGTTATCCAGATTTGGTACAAGCCCTTGTTTTCCGGTTTGGGGCTAGTCATCGATCTGAGCTGGCCAGGGCATAGCTAAGGGCTAGAAGAAGAGGGAAAGAAGAAACTCCACCTGAACTGGCAGAGGACTTGCAGAGATTTGTGTTCCTGGCTTACCCAGATACCAGTGAGGCCTTCCAGGATACATTAGCAATGGACCGATGTATAGATGCTCAGCTGGACTTGGACTTGCAGATCAAGATCAGCAAAAGAAGGCCAAGGATGCTCAGAGCAGGGCTGCCCAGAGGCGGGGGGCAAGTGGGGCAATTTGCCTCGGGCCCCGCAGGGGCCCCCACGAGAGTTTTTCGGGGCCCCTGGAGCAGTGTCCTTCACTCGCTCCGGGGGCCCCGGAAAACTCTCGCGGGCCCGGGCCCCCGGAGCTTCTTCCGCTCCGGGTCTTCGGCGGCAGTTCGGTGGCGGGGGGTCCTTCCACTCCGGGACCCACCGCCGAAGTGCCCTGAAGACCGGTGGAGGGGGGTCCTTTCACCCCGGGACCCGCCACCAAAGTGCCGGGTCTTCGGTGGCAATTTGGCGGCGGGGGCCCCCTGCCGCCGAAGACCCCAGGCTCCCTGAATCCTCTGGGCGGCCCTGGCTCAGAGAGGCTGTGGAATTTGCCACAGAACTTTAATCTTTCCTTGCAGCAGACCAGGAAGCAGCTGCTAGAGAGGAAGATGTTTACTATGAGCTTTGTAAGTACAGCTCTGTGTCTAATGTGCCTGCTGGAACAGAGGATTCTAATCTGGTTCATGACATTTTTGAGTGATTGGAAAAGTTGTTCAATTCAGTTTGTAAACCAATGGAAATTGGTAATAATGCAAAAATGAAGGGTAACAGTTCATTTAAATACTGGTATTTGTGAAAAAAATTATCCACTAAAAGAATTGTTATAAATTTAAGGCAAGCCGGAACTGAGCGTCACAAACACTTAGTGAAAATCCATCATCCAAACTGGGAAATGAGAAGCACCAAGATGAAGGGGGAAAGCTTGGAACTACAAGGATCAGCTCCACAGTATTTGCTAAGATCTGGGCAGTTAAACAACAATAATGGGAGTATGAACATGTAATATGATCCTGTTACATATTCATATGAATATGTAATAAGATCTGTGAAATGCATAAGAATAATGGACATTGGCTCAGAGATAACCGTTATTAGACCAGACGTGTTAATCATGTTACAGAATAGAGGATCTAAAACTGAACCAGCTACGTGGTCCCAAATGGAGACAGTGACTGGGGAACATGCACCAGTCCAAAAGTTGGGAAAATTGGGTTTGAAAACTGGACCTCGGGAATTTGAGCAAGAAGTTGATAGCCAATAGAGTGGAGGATCTGACAGTTGGTTTGGATTTCATTATGGCTAATTACTGTAATAAATACCAGGAAAGCTGTCTTACAGATCCATTCTGTAGAAATTCCCTTGAAAGATGTGGCCTAGTTGAAACAAATTGTTTGTAAACAACTGGTTTACTGTGAGCAAATTGTCCTACCTTCAGGGGGTAAAAACCATAAGAACAGCTACATGCGGTGGTAGCTTTCCAGCAAGGGGAAGATAGGGAGTAGTGAGACCTGCTTTAACACCCAGGGGGAACTCTAGCTCCTATAGTTCTTGTGGAACTGAAGCAGGAATGGATCTCTGTTCATTTGCTGAATGTTTCAGACAAACAGCAAATAGTACAAAAAGGGACCCACAGTGGCAAAATGAGAACCTATCGATCGAGTAAATGCCGGTATAGGGAAAAAAAAACTAGAGAGGTGAAAGGGGTGAAGGTGAGCTCCCAGAGGCTATGTCTATACTACCGTGGTAAGTCAACCTACGCTACACAACTCCAGCTATGTACCTTAGGTCGAGTTACTGTGGGGTCTACACCGCAGGGGGTCGATGGGAGAAAATCTCCCATCACTTACCTTACTCTTCTCGTCGGGGGGTAGAGTACAGGGATCGACTGGAGAGCGATCTGCAGTCGATTTGGCGGGTCTTCACTAGACCCGCTAAATGGACAGCCGGTGGATCGATCTCAGAGTGTTGATCCCGGCTCTAGTGTAGACCTGCCCAGAGTTTCTATTGAACTTGTTCCAATGCAGTGCTGTACATTTTAATGACTAGCAGCAGAACGGTCTAAGAGACTTTCTGGTTAGGAATCTAATTGTTCTGAGTCTACAAAGATCTAGATTGTACTGCCCTGGTTCACCACAAGGTTGACATTTAACAGCCACCTGACCATTTACCAGAAGCAAAAAGAGAAGAGGTTTTACAAACCACTGAAGAAATGTATCAGGAATATATAACTGAGCCTTCAACCAGTTCTTGGGCCTCACCCATAATGCTGGTTAAGAAATAAAGACGGCAGCACCAGATTCTGCGTGGAGTATAGAAAACCACTTTAAAGGATTCATTAAATAGATGATTCCCTGAATGCTATAGCAGGTTCACTTTGGTTTTCCACAATGATTCTTAAAAGTGGCTGTTGGCAAGTGGAAGTAGGAATGGAATTCACAGCAGGCCAAGGCCTGTGGCAATTTAAAGTGATGGCTTTCAGCACCCATCTAGATTGATCCCTGGTAGGAGCCTGTCCCATCCTTTCCTTGAGTGACATTGGAGCAGAATCCAGAGTCTGGAGGGATGGATTTGAGTCCTGGTTTCCACACTTGCCTACTGTGGTTTAATTCTCTTCTTCTCTCGGCAGGTGACAGGGCGGCAAGTGAGGATGAGGTGAATCCTCAGCAGGAAGTGCAGCCGTGTGGGACGGTCTCGGGGCTTGTTCCAGCCTGCCAGAGCCAGGGTGGACCAGGGAGGCTGCGTGTGAACCCTCCGAAGATGAGGCGTCGCCGGTCTGCCCACCGTGAGAGGGGATTCATCAACCTACTGGGCATCCTGGAGCCCCGGCGCCCGGCAGATAAGCCCTACCGGTGCACAGAGTGCGAGAAGAGCTTCAGCCAGAGCTCGAATCTCATTGAGCACCAGCGCATCCACACCGGCGAGAAGCCTTTCCGCTGCCCCGACTGCGGGAAGTGCTTCTGCGTCAGCTCCAACCTGAACTACAACAAACGCATCCACACCGGAGAGAAGCCCTACGGCTGCAGCGCCTGTGGGAAGAGCTTCCGCTACAAGCCCCAGTTCACCCGCCACCAGAAGCTGCACCAGGGGGACGGGGAGGAGCCAGTGGCCGTCCTGACCCTGGGACCGTGGGCTGCAGCAGCCCCGCTCATACAGATCACGGAGACTGTTTAAAGCGGGCAAGCTCCCACCCCGGGGATGAGGGGGATCAGGGACTAGAGTCAGCGTGTGGTTGAGCTCTGTTAGGCCAAGCGCAGAGCTGGAATTGACGTGTGTTTCTCCAAGCTGTTTGGCCCAGCTCTGATTCACTTGCAGCTGGAGTTTCTCTGATTCCTGTTTTAAGAATATGGGAATTCCTGATGGGCTCGTCTAGCTCCACATTCTTCCCCCAACACTCCCGCGCAGACCGACGTGGTATTCCTCCTCCTGCTTCGCTACATCTAACCCTGTATCCCCACTCCTTGCTATTCCACATCAGACTAATGGGCCCATCTAACCTGATACGCCTTCTTCCCTGCTTCCCCAGATCGGATCAATAGGTCTGTCTAGTCAGTATCATCCCCCTTTCCTGGTGGATCAAAATATCTGAAAGTTTCCCATTCAGCTCCCTGCTGCCCCAGGTCAGCCCGATGGGACTGTCTAGCCCAATATTCCCCCCTACTCCTTGCCATGTTGGATCAGACTAATGGGCCCATCGAGCCCAATATCTCCCACGCCCATCCCTGCAGCACCAGTTCAGACTAATGGTCCATCTGGTCCAGTATCCTACCTCCAAGAGTGGCCAATGCTAGATGCTGCAAAGGAAATGTTGAATGCACTTCACTCTGCTGTGTACCATTGAGGGAGAAAGCAGTTCCTTCCGGACTGCAACTGGCTCTCGGCTTCCATGATGGATCATGAGGGTCAAATGTCCTTGACGTTTCAGTGTTTATCCTGTCCATTGTCATTGCAGGTGCTATTCTTATTCCTACAAACATCAAATCCTTTTTTTTTTTAATGATTTAGTGAGATACTTGCCTCCATAATATCCTGCTGCAGGGAATTCCACAGGTTAACAATATCACTTTCTATTGCCATTCCCTGTCAATACAGCGGAGGAAATCCCACAAAGCAGGCTAAGTCCTTTGGAAGGCTGTTGTTTCTTAGGTCTTGACTACAATTAGTTTGCGGCAGCAGGGTGTCAGTCTACTCTGTGCTAGCCTGCCACGGACTAGCTGTCCCTGTGGACCTTACTGACACGTATTAGTAGTTCATTAATGCACTTTGATCTAGTTCAATTTCAAAGAAGACTTTCTGCCAACATTTAGCCTGCAGCAAGCTAGTGTGGAGTCGATTCACAACCCAGCTTGCCACAAACTAAATGTTCGTGTAGACAAACCCTTAGACTGGACAGCAAGTCCTTGAGCTGGCAGCCTCCGCTCTTACAGGATCTGGACAGGCATCTGAGGCCTAATGCCACTGCAAAAGGAGCAAATGTCTGGAAGATCAGAGATTGAGTGGAACACCCCCCCTCCTCCCCCCCATGAAATGGACATTCTAGTTATTGCAAGAGGTGAGGACCTTGAGTAGGTAGCATGGCCTGAAGCCATCACCATTTGAAGGTGTAGGAGTCCCTTACATGGAACGAGTTGATTGGGTCTCAGTCTTGTTCTTAGCAGGATGGGTGTGTCTGCCACAAAATCGCCATTACATTGGCACTAAGTAGCTCCGTTGTTGGCAGTAAGGCTAAAGCCTGAAAAGGGGCCGAATTCACCTTTGCCCCTTATGGAGGCAGTATCGTAATATGAGGCACAAAGGCATTGTGTGTCCCTGTGCTACCCATTCGGGGGGATATGCCAAGAGCTTCGGTCTGGTGCCCTCCATTTTGTCTTGTTTCATCCAAACGTGGGGCTGGAGCAGGATGTGGCCACGGCTCACAAAGCTGCGGGGAGCGAGGCAGAGATGCCAGAGGGCAGAAGGAGCGTTTCAGATTCCAGCTCGGACTGGGATCCCCAGGAGCTCAGGAGAGCCAGGAGACTCACTGCTTCTCCTGGGAAATTGGATGGAGTGATTTGTTAAGACAAGTGTCCTCTTGTCTTCTAGACATCAGCCACTGGGGGAAATAAACCATCTTCCTGTCTCAGATGGTTAGACTAGATGACCCTTGTGGTCCCTTCCAACCCTGTGGTTCTGTGATTCTATTTTTTTGGACAAACCCACAGGCACCTGCCAAGATGGAGCAAGTAGAAAGGTTTTTGCCTGTACACTGCACTGGTTCTGTCCCCCTCCAAGGCTAAGAACGTGGTGCATGACTGGGCAGAGGATGCTGATGCTGTGTGAGAGCCAAGGCAGCCTGTGAACTATGGGGAGATGGATTTGATCTGGACAGATGTCTCTCTATTTCCCCCCCCCCTTTTTTTTTACTGTAAAGCTTGGGAATTAATCTCTATTTGAATGGGGGGGAAGAGTGGTAGTGGGGAGTGCCTGAATGTTGAGGTCACCTAATGGCTCTCTCCAGCGACTGCAGAATCTCAGTTGCTTCCTGGACCTTCAGCCTGTAGGTCACTAATGCAAATCCGCCTAGGACAGTTGCAGTTAGCATTCCGTTGACCCCTTGTATGAAACGAGTCTGTTGAGCCTCAGTCTGCTTCCCAGCAGGCGAGCCTCCACGTCCCTTAATCACCAGCACTAATCCTTAGCTGAGGCTGAGGAGTAAATGGACCACAGGGACGGAGCTCCCTTCTTGTTCTCCGCCCCCAAGACATCCCTTCAAGGCAGGGTTGAACCCGTTCTGGGAGTACACAGAGGATCCAGTCTCCAGGGCAGGGTGGGGCACAGCGGAAGGGGCACAGGGTGCGTGTATTGGGCAAGCTCCATCTCACACTTCCCAGGCTCCTATGAACGTGCCTAGAGAATCCAGTCTCCCAGGGTACCTTTCCCTGGGATTAAATTCACACCCAAATATAAACTCAATATTATTTTTAATAAAGCAAAATGTAAACTAGGGATAATTCAAAGAGGTTGCTTCTGACAGGAGTTAGCCCTGTGATTCTGGAGTGATGATCGCAAAGGTAGGTAGGTAGGTAGACAGGAGGTGACTCTTAGTGTAGGCTTTACTGTATATGGTTGCAAACCCCTGTATTAAGAGGGATTACTATATTAGACTCTTAATGGTTATAAAGACAACATTCTTAGGCGCTTGATTGTGGTGTTACATTGCCATATAGACTAGTTCTTATGTGTTTTTACGGCCCTACTTTGAGATAATGTTACAGCTGAGATTTTAATTCTCACACAAAAGCCAGGTTGAAATTCAAAGCAAAGCTTTTGATCTTGAGTATTAACTCTACTCATTAGGAAAAGACACTAGAATAGGGTCCTTCCGTTAATATGATGGAAAAGAGGGGTGGTCTGAGCAGAGGACTGGATATCACGATTCCTGGGTTCTGATCTCAGCTCGATGAGAGGAGTGGGATCTAGTGGTTACAGTGTGAGGGGAAGGAGGGAGAATTGGAAATCAGGATCCCTGGATTCTATTTCTAGCTCTGAGAAGGGAATAGAGTCTGGTGGTTAGAGCTAGGGGGTAGCAGGATCAAGATTCCTATGTTGTATTTCCAGTTCTGTTACTGACTTGCAGTGTGACGTCAGAGGACATATCTCAACTGAGTTATTCCTGATTTACACCTGTGTAAGTGAGAGCAGAAGCAGACGCAGAGACCTTGCGATTTGATCCATGCAATGCGCAGTTCTTTATATTTCGTTCTCAAAACACCGGAACATCCAGTTCCTCACTAAATATTCTGGGTAGTACAGTCCAACACGCATTTCCTAAACTAAAGAGTACTGTAAATAGACCTATGATTAGAGGACATTCCAAACACTAGATGGACAAATTGCTACATTACTTAGGGTCCATAGGCAGTGACACAAATGGCAACCTGATATTAAAGCGGGGAAACATTGCATATCCATTGTGGTAATGATTTAGCACATAGTGTCGTTTAGCAGAATGCCATGGGAAATGACCCAGTGTTGAGTGATTATGTAATAAAGGATCATACTGTTTAATTTAATAAATAGGGGGCTCTTACCTGACCACATCAGTCTGGGTCATTCTGTCCAGTTCTGTTTTGTAAATGTAACAGATTTTCTTTTTGTGAATTTTAATGTAAACTATGCTGACTTCTTGTTGGCTAGCCAGATTGCACATGCAGTACTGCCAACCCTAAGTGTTCAAAGTCCATGAATCAGTGTCCTCCATCCCCCAAAAGATAGGCTTAAAAACTCATGACTTTTTTAAACATGAGAAATTTGTGGTTCTTTTTCTTTGCTTTCTTTGAGCCTTTAGAGGCCACCTTTTCACACTTTTCTCTGTAACCACAAGGGCTAGAAACTTATTTTTGGGAATGAAGCCTGAGATTTTTTACATAGGCAGATAAGTTCAGGAGTTGAGATGCTAAGAAAAACAACAAGTATTGTGTGACTTGCGATAAAATCACAAGAGCTGACAACACTACATACATGAAACATCCACTATGTGAATCAATCTAACTCCAAAACCACTTGAGATGTTTATGATAACACAGGGGATTTAGCTTTAACTGTCAATACTAGTAGGGCTAATCTCTCTGTGCGTCGGTCACTGTAGGACTCCTATGTTACTCTGAAATATGTCAGAGATGCTCTTGAATCCATTCATTAAATCAAATGTTACTGTGTCGTTTTATGTTGGCAGACATAACTCAGGTTCTCCGCTCTTGTGTCTCTGATTGTTTTGTACTGACCGTATTCCTGCTTAACTGCTCCTGTTTTCTTTCTTTCTTGTAAAACATCAGTAGACTGTCACCGAAAATAAATGTGAAAGTCCCTGAAATGTCAGCTTTGTCTTGCAGTGCGCTGTGAAAGTGGTGCCTAGTGATTAGAGCTGGGGTGAGTCTGGAGTCCTGGGTTCTGTTCTCAGCTCTGGGAAGGGAGTGGGCTCTGGTGGGTAAGAGCTGGGGGGGCTGGGAGCCAGGACTCCTGGGTTCTCTTCCAGCTCTGGGAGGGAAGTGGACTCTGGTGGGTTAGAGACAGGACTCCTGGGTTCTATCCCCAGCTCTGGAATGGAAGCGGACTCTGGTGGGTTAGAGCAGTGGGGGGGCTGGGAGCCAGGACTCCTGGGTTCTATCCTCAGCTCTGGGAGGGAAGTGGACTCTGGTGGGTTAGAGCAGGGCGGGGGCTGGGAGCCAGGACTCCTGGGTTCTATTCCCAGCTCTGGGAGGGAAGCGGACTCTGGTGGGTTAGAGTGGGGGGCTGGGAGCCAGGACTCCAGCCTGGGTTCTCCTCCCAGCTCTGGGAGGGGAGTGGAGTCTCACAACTAAAGAAGGGGGGAGCTAGGATACATGAGTTCCCCTGCCAGCTTTGGGAGGTGGTGATAAGGGGCAGATCATGCTGGGAAGGGTAACAGAGAGGAGGGAACACTGGGGGAAGGGGGGGGTTAAGAGAGAATGGTGCATGCTGGGATACCAGATGACAATGGGGCAACAGCTCATCTTTATTAATAACAGTGTATCCTGCAGGAACCAAAAACAGTGAGGCCCTCTAGGCCTGTCTGTCTCCCTTGGTCTCCTAGCAACAGCCGCTCCCCCCCCTCCCCTTCATCACGTGACCCGGGGGCTATGACATCATCACCGGGTTCCCCCTGGAATGCTGGGCTGAGCCGATGGCCCGGTCTCTGCAGGGAGCCCCGGCTGCAGCCTGGTCCCGCCCGCTGAGCGGGATTCCCAGCGCCTGCCCCGCTCGCCCACATGGAGCGCGGGGCCGAGCCGCGGGGCCCGGCTGGGCGGGGCTCTGCCGAAAGGGAGCTCCCAGGTGATGAATCAGTGACACCGGCTCGCAGGGTCCGGGGGAGGAGGGAACAGCTGGGACCCCAGCAGGGCTTCCCCCTTCCCCTTTGTCTGGCTCAGGACCTGATGGTAGGCTCCTGCCTGTCCTGAGGACCCCCATTCCCTGCCCCCCCTGGGCTCAGATGGGATGTTGGGGCAGAACCAGCCTCTCCTCTCCCCTCGGGGGAAAGGTCTGTCAAGGATTCGGTCCTTGTTGATTAGGGTCTTTTACATCCTTTGCCATCCCCTTTCTCCCTGCTGCAGGGTAGGAATTCCTTTCCCCAGCCGTAGATCATCCTCCAATCGAGGGATCACCGATGGTGATGATTTATTAGGTGTATTACGATAGCCTCTATGAGCCCAGTCATGGATCAGGGTCCCCCTGTGCTAGGTGCAGTACATTATGTAGTAGGTGTATTACAGTAGGGCTTAGCAGCCATTGTAAAGACCCGGAGCAAACAGAGAGTACCTGCCCCAAAGAGCTGACAATCCAAGCGCTTTGCTGGCCGTCAGAAGACATAATCACAGTGGTCCCTTCTATCCTGATAATCTATTAATCCTCCTTCTCCTGGCAGCTGTCGGGACAACAAGTAAAGCAGAGCCACATGGGACGTCCTCCAGTGTCCGAGTCCCGGGAAACCAGCAGAGAGACCCTCCAAGGAGGAGACGGATTAAACACACTTGCTCCGAGCCGGGCTTCATCAACCTTCTGGGCATCCTGGAACCTCCCCGCCCTGCCACCCGGCGGCCAGCGGACAAGCCCTACCGGTGCACGGAGTGCGAGAAGAGCTTCGGCCAGAGCTCGGTGCTGATCGAACACATGCGGATCCACACGGGCGAGCGCCCCTTCGTCTGCGGCCAGTGTGGCAAGCGCTTCAGCCAGAGCTCCACTCTGCTGGGCCACCAGCGCACGCACAC